TATATTATATATATTAAGGGAAGTACTAGAGTTAAGGATAGCTGATTTTCGTAGGAGATAGTCGGATAGTCTTAATAGGTAGTCTTACTAATCTATAAGGAAGATAAATACCGGATTTCCTATACTAACGGTTTTTCCTTAAATTTATAGCTCGAATAAAGGCAGCGGCGTTATTAGTTACTATTTCTTAGTAACTTAAATCTCGTCTATCTTCTTCTATAACGAGGGGTCCTTCTTAAGAGACTATTATACTATTTCTTATAGCCTCTTTAAAGGGTTAACTCTTTTAGGTCGGTTTTCCTTAAAGACCTACTAGTAGTCTTCTAGCCGATAGGGCTTTTTATATACTTAGTAGGTAGGTCGATTTCTCCTTATACGTTATTTCTTTAAGGAATCCTTCGCTTAGTCTAGAAGGTCTACTTAAAAACCCCTCCTTTTTACCCCTTATTACTAATTTTAATAAAGAGGTTCGATTTCGACTAGTTCCCTAATTTTTCTACTAACGGACTAAAAGGTCTATTAGGGGACTAGTCGGGCCGGTCTAACTAACGGGACCGGGGCTAGACCCGGAATAAGATACGTAGCCGGGGCCGGGCCTAGGGCAGCCGTTAAAGACGGTGTTAATACTCTCGAGGGAGGTAGAGCTAAAGGAGCAATAGCTATAGCAGCAGCAGCGGGGGCCATAGTAATAAAGACTATAGTAGCTATAGGGGCAGCAGGTCGAGCCGTCTAAGTTAAGTGCTAGCTATAAAGGAATAAGACTGCTTACTATTATACTTTAGTAGCTTCTTTATTTAGTTCCCGGCTAGCCTCTCGAAAGATAGTTAAGTAACCGTTACTAATAGGTTTTATTAGCATAGATATATCTTATAGCTACTAGCCGGAAAGAGCTTTTATAAGGAAGTATTAGTTAGCTTCCTTAAGGATTTCTTCTTACTTAGCTAGCTACGACGAAGCTAGTAGGTTCCTAGTAAAAAAGGCTCCTAAGTATAATATATAGGTCTTCTTAATACGGTTAGTTATATAGCCCTTCGAGGGAGCTATTTAGGCCTTAAGCTTTAAAAGCTACTACCTAGGAGTCTCTTCCTCTTAAAGAGAGATTAGCTTTATAGTACTAACGGATTCCGTTATCGCCGTATATATAGTAGTTAGTAGCTTTATCTTATAGAGGTACTCCTTTTAGTAACTCTTATAGTCGCCTAAGGTAGTAGAAAAAGCTCTCTACTATATAGAGGTTAGCTCGGAGAAGAGGGTAGCTCCCTCTATAAAGTTAGTTGCCCTAAGATAAAGAGGGGCCTTAAGAGGGTCCTACTTATTAAAGAAGACTAAATTATAAATAGTTTTATTTATATAAGCCTATAGCTCCTTTACCTACTTATCCTAATCTTAGGGCTCTATAAGAATCGTCCTATAGACTATAGGGGTAGTAGAGTCGTTTTTCGATATTATTATAGGGAAAGGGGGTAGAAAAGTTAGTTAAAAATCGGCTTTTCTAGTAAGAAGGGTAAAAGGGAGCTACGAGGGATATAAGAAAGGTGCCTTTTATAGTAGCCGGAAGGTATAGGAATTCTCTTCCTCTTAGGCTTATAACTCTCGCGTAGAGAGATATAAAAAGTATATAAAAATATATAAAGGTAAAATTAAAATTAAGGGGTCGGATAGGTAGGGCAGAGAGATTTAATTCTTATAGGAGTAGTAATAATAGTAAGGGAGTAATTATTATATTGCCTTAATTCTCCTTCTTTCCTCTATCTAACGCCCCTTTTTATACCCGTCTAGCGTTTTAATTAATAAAGAAGATCTTACTTAAAGAAGCTACTAATATCCTTTTAACTACCGCGCTTTTAACCGGTTTTTCTACCGTTGCCGGTATATCTATCTTATCTCTCGCTACCTCTATAAGAAGCTATTACTACTTTTACTTCCCCTTATACCCCTACCCTCCTTTCTATACCTCCTTTTAGCTCCTTCTTCCTTCTTCTATACTAAGTGTTTTTAGCTTCCTTAGTCCCTCTTACTAAGGGATATCTCTAGAACTATAAAATTAAGCTACGCTTTATAATAATAATATATAAGAAACTTATACTAGCTATCTTAGGTATTATTTTAGTTAGTTAGAATTATATTAGCCTTACTATAAAGTAACCTTAAAAAGTAGCTCCTTTATATATATAAGGTATATAGTATTAATTAGTAGTATAAGCGTTTTTAGTTAATAGTTAATTATATAATTATCCTTAACCTTATCTTATAATAATATTTACTTAAGTACTACTTTATTTTTCTATTATAAGGCTTAGTAGGCTATTTTCTATTAATACTAGCCTTTAGCTAAGCTAGTAATTAGGTTATTATAATAGCTTTACGCCGTACTTATTAAGTTACTAGTATTAGCCCTAGGTTTTTATTTTCTTAGTTAAGGGGCCTAGACTAAGGTTAAGGGGGAAGCCTTAATAAATTTATCGCTAGGTCTAAGTAAGCGAGGTCTAGGCCGGCCTACCTATAGTAGGGCTTACTACTAGTATATTTATAAGCGCTTTTAAAAGCGCTAATTAGCTAATTAATAAGTAGGTTAGTATAGTTTATTAGTTTAACTAAAAATTAATTATACTCTTAGCTAGATTTAAACTAACTTTAGTAATATAGCTAGTAGTCCTTTTAAGTATAAGACTACTATACTATAAAGGTTATTTTAGGCTTTTATAAAGCTCTTTATTAAGCTTATTTAGCTCTTTTTATCCTAGGTTAGCTTATAAGCTTATTAAGCTAAGCTTAGGGCTTTTTAAAGGGAGGTAAGTTTATTAGTTTATTAAGGCTTAGACCTTATATAAGGCTTCTTTTTTAGTATCGCTATATTAAAGGCCTTTATAAGGGTTCTTATTAAGAGGGAAGCTATTCCTTTTAAGCTATTTCTTTTTATAGCCCTCTTTATATTTATAAAGAGGTTTTATTCCTTCTTAGTTAAGTATTTTAAAAAGACCTTTTAGTTTACTTTCTTATAGTTATAATTAATAGGTTTAGCTAGTAAGGGCTTATTAAAGCTCCTTAAGCTAGCTTTAAATACTATAAGCTTATAGTTTAAGCTTATAGCCTTTAAGAAGCGGAAGTTAGCTTAAGTTAGCTTCTTAAATAAGCTATAAAAAGTAAGGTCTATAACTAAGGCCCCTTTTAAGCCTTACTTTTAATATATACCTTTTATAGCTACCTTAAGGTCTATTAGTAAGAAAGCTTTATAGCTATTAAGCTAGCTAATAAAGGCTTTTACTTTATAGTCCTTAAAAGGTTTTATAAAAGGGTTTTAATAAGGGTAGTATAAGTTAAAGTCCCTTACTAATAAGAAGGGCTACTATAGTAGCTAGGCTATTAATAGTAGCCTTTTTATTATAAAGGGCTCTTACTAGCCTTAGGTAGCTAAGGCTATTTTAACCTCCTTTTTATTATATAAGTAAATAAAGGTAAATAGCTTAGTACTTTTTACCTATATAGCTTATATATTAAGGTTATAAAAGAGGTCGAAACTAAATCTAGCTTTTATTTAAGCTTCCTTCCTTTTATAAGCTATAAACTTAGGCCTTTTAGTAAGCTTAAAAAGGTTAGTAAAAACGATAAGGGTTATAATATTATAGGCTAAATACTATATAGGGATATAGCTATTATCGATCTTATAAATATAAGGCTCTTATAATAAGATAACGTCCGCTTTTATTTTTAAGGCTTACTTTAAGATTAATAGGTTAGCTATTTCCTACGTATTAATATTATACTATATAATACTAATAAGGTTATAGTTTAGCTTAAGGGGCCTAAGAAGCTTAAGGGGCCTTATAAGTATAAGGAGGCTAAGGCTATTAAGTATTAGTTATACCCTTATAAACTTTATATTATACCTTATTAGTTATAAGGTAATTTCTTTAATAGTTATAGTATTAAACCTTAAGGTAATAGTAGCTTTAGCTAGCTTTATAGCTAGGGTAGCTATAATCCTTAGTTAAGTACTTTTCTAAGTAAAAGGTATATTTAATAGGCTATTAATAAGTCTAAGGGTTATAGCTAAAGGAAAGGTACTTATAGTACTATATATATATAGTATATTCCTTATAGGCCTTAACTTAAAGCTATAGACTTATTATATAAAGGCTCTTTTTTAGTATTTAGCCCTTATAGCCTTTAAAGGAACTATAAAGATAATAGATCCTACCTTCTAAGTTAAGCTTAAGGTGCTTAGCTACCTAGGCTACCCTAGGATATTAATCCTACTAAAGGTCTTAGCCTTTATAGCGAAGATATTAAGGATAAGGGTCTTTAAGAAGTTAAAGATACTTTAAGCTATTAGCTTAGTTTAGCTAGTAAAAAGGTTAGCGGATTTAATAAGTAGTATTATAGGATAGAAATTACGTAATATATTACGTAATATATTACGTAATATCTTTCCCTTATATAGATCGTCTAGCTAAGAAAAGGAGAGATTCTCTTCTTTTCTCCCTTTTTATCTAACTATAGTTACTCTTTAGCTACGTTTTCCTTATATCTTATACCGTCTCCCTCTATATCTCTCTTTCTTCTACCTTAAGCCCCCTACCTAGGACGACCTATCCGCCCTACCTAGCTATTATATAATAAATAGTAGTAATTCCGTCGTTATCTCTCGATCTTAAAAGTAACTATATAAGTATACTAAGCTATCTTTACTAGTAGCTAATCTAAAAGAATACTAGTAGCTAGGCACTAAGCTAAGAGATGCACTAAGCTATAAGAGCAGTAACTAAGGTACTAAGTGCAACTATTGCTTATTAGACCGACGAGGTCGACCCCCTTTATAATAGACTTCTCCCTCCTTAGCCGAGAAGAGTAGTAAAGGCTCTATAAGATATACTAAGAAGACTAGCTCCGAAGAACCTACCGAGAATACGGAATCCTCTTCCTAACGAAGAACTAGCTATTTACGTATCTTTAGACATATCGTCTTCCTGCCCGTGCCGGCAGCAGCAACCTTCCTACCTATGCCGGCAGCAGCAACCTTCCTGCCCGCGGTAGCAGTTATCGTCTTCTTGCCCGTGCCGGCAGCAGCAACCTTCCTGCCCGCATTAGCAGTTATCTTCCTACCCGTGGCGGCACTAAGAAACGCGGCAGCTACCCCCCTGCCCAAGTTAATACCGCCCGGACCGTCGTAGACTATTAAGACTATGCCTTACGGCTAGCTTCTAATTAGCTAACTAACCCTAACTACCGAGACTCTAATACCGGGCCGGACTATAAGACCGACCTAGTCCCCGACGGGCTAGTCCCTAACGACCCGGACTACGAGACCGAGCTAGCCCCCGACCTAGGCTACGAGACCGAGCTAGCCCCTAACCTAGGCTATGAGACGGATCTAGCCCCTAACTGCTTAGACCCGTACGACCTAGACTGCCTAGTTTACCTATATGCCGAGGAAGCCGACGAGGAAGCTATCGAGGAAGCTAACGTAGAAGCCGTCGAGGAAGCCGATAAAGAAGCCGACGAGGAAGCCGTCGAGGAAGCCGACGAGGAAGCCGACGAGGAAGCCGACGAGGAAGCTAAAGAATATTCCGACGAAGAAGTAAGTTATTCTAACGAGGACTACTAAGGGAGCCTAAGAGTAGGCTTATCTTTTCCTTAAGGGGGGGCATTTATTATAGGATAGAAATTACGTAATATATTATATAATATATTACGTAATATCTTTCCTTTATATAGATCGTCTAGCTAAGAGAAGGAGAGATTCTCTTCTTTTCTCCCTCTTTATCTAACTATAGTTGCTCTTTAGCTATATTTTCCTTATATCTCGTACTGTCTCCCTTTATATCTCTCTTTCTTTTACTTCGAGCCCCTTACCTAGGCCGACCTATCCGCCCTACCTAGCTATTATATAATAAGTAGCCTCTTAAGGTATAAGGACTACTTATCCTATTACTTTAAAAGCTTCTTTATTATATAAGGGGCCTTTATTATTATAACTATATTACCCTTATTTAAATTTAATAAGGCTAATATAGCTAGTTTCTTTATAGCTTTATTAAGCTTATTATAAAAAGTAATAGGGCTAATAGTTAGCCTTAGTAGTCCCTTTTTTAGCTTTAAGATAAGCTAGAAGTCCTTTTTTATATTCCTCTTAGCTAGGGCCTTAGCTAGGGCCTTAGCTAAGACCTTAGGCGCCTTCTTTATAGTAACCTTAGCCTATAAGCTAGCTTCGAGGTTTCCTTAAGTAGCCTTAGGTCGTTAAGCGGCCTTAGGCTATTATAGGGGCTATTATAAGGGCTATTAGTAGTCTAGGGTCCCTATAGCTACCTTCTTAAGCCTTTTTATAAGGGTCTTATAAAAGGGTTTAATTTTTAAGCTTCCTTAAAAGCTTAGAGGGCCTATTAAAGGAAGCCCTAAGCCCGGTCCTTAAAGAAGAGGTGCTAGGGCTAAAGCTAAGGCTACTACTACTATAAGCGTTAAAGTATAAGTTAGATAGGTATAGGGTTAATAAGGCTATTAAAAGTAGCTTTCTTTTACCCCTTTACTTACTTAAGAGGCTAGTTTAGCTAGAAGTAGCTAGCTTAAAGTAGGGCTAGGCTAGGCTTAAAGAAGCTAATCTTAGGCCTACTAAGCTAGATTAAGCTAATAGTTTAAGTAAGCCCTAAGCTTATTTTATTATCTTATATCTTAATATCCTCTTAGTCTTAGTCTTAGCCTTAAGCTTTAAGCCTCTCTTTTAAGGTCTTTAAAGGGTATTAGCCTTTTAAAGCTTCCCTTAAGCGGGCCCTAGCTTCTAAGGTACTTATTTCGGCTCCTAAAATAAAGGGGGGGGGGGGGTTAAAGGGGCCTACTTTAGGCCTAGGCCGGGGTCCTAGGTCGGGTCTAGGCTAGGTTCTATTAGTAAGGGATATATACCCTTAGTTAGTAAGGGTAAGGAAGAGTTTTCTACCTATATAAGGGAAAACCTAGCCTAAGTTATAAACTTTAATAGTATATTATATACCTACTAGTAGCTATATATTATAAGACTAATAGGAGATATAATAAGTATTAATATTACTCCTACTTAAGGGTGCCCTTATTTTAGATAAGCGGTATTTAATATAATAGTTATAAGCCTAGGAGGGAAGGCGCTAGCCTAACTTATAACTTCCGGAAACTATATATATATATAATCTCTTATTTATAACCCTACGATAACTAAGTTAGTAAAAAATTAATTATCTAAGTTACTAGCTATAATATTTAAATAGCTCTCTAGTACTATAATAGCTAGAGACCTAAGGGGTATATTATAAGACTAGTAAGAGATATAATAAGCATTAATATTACTCTTACTTAAGGGTGCCCTTATTTTAGCTAAGCGGTAAGTTAGTATACCTAGCTTTTAATACCCCTTACTTCTAGCACCCTTTATAGTACTAAGGTAGGTATATTCTAAAAGCAATTAAAGCCGTATTTTAATATTACGATAATTAAATTTAGTATTTCTAGCTACTCTAGCTACTAGCTATTATAAAGAGCTTTAAATTATACGTTCTAATTAGCTATAGCGGCGGTAGCTAGCTTAAGCGTACGCTCGAGCTATTTCTTTATCTTTATAACTTATTTAATCTATATAAACTACTTATTAAGGTCTTAAGGGACCTTTTTCTATTTCTAAGGCTATAAACGATATAATCAATACTCTAGCTATTATATTTAAAGCTAGGATACTATAAGTTACTAATTTTACTTATTAAGGCTATAGCTAACCTTACTAAAGAGTAGTTAGATCGTATAGTTAACTTAACCGCGGTTTTCTAGCCCTATAATAAGGCGACGGACTTCTTATAATCGTTTAAGCGTTTTAAGGGTATTATAAATAGCTAGGGTACTAGAATTCTTTCTTTTTAATAGCGTTAATAGCGTTAATAGCTATAGTAAGATAAACCGGCTTAGTAAGGGCTTTACTATATTAACTAGAGATAGAATCGCTTATCTAGCCCTTTAAGGAAGTAACGAAGTCCTAATCCTTTAGAAAATTAAGTTTGTTAGAGAACTATTACTATTAAAGGTCCTAGCCCTTAAAGATTATAAGGGGGATTAAAGCCTAGCCCGTTATAAAGACGTATTTAACGATTATAGTTTAATAACGTAATCTAAGCCGCTTTTTAATAGCCTCCTTCTTTTCTAAGCTCCTTAGCACTAGCCCGTTATAGCTAAGGCCCTTAAGGATACCTATTTCGTCTATATTAAAGCGTAATTCTAGTAGGATTGCCTATATAGCTAGTAGCTTAAGTAATTAGAACTATTCCTTAATCCCGCTTATAGAGGCGCCGTTAATATAGGTAGAATTAAGAGATTTACCTTTAATCGTGCTAATCTCTAGGTTTCGTGCTAAAAAGCTCGAAACCTAGTATTTTCTAAGCGGGCGGGGGTCTCTACTAGCTACGATAATATAGCTAGCGAATTCCCTAAGTTAATAATACGTTAGAAGTAGCCTAAGGGCCGCTTAAGTAAGAACTTATTTATAGTAGTGTTTTTCCTGCTCTTAACTAAGCCTTTAAGATGCCTCTTTTACCTCCTTTATTAGTAGGGCTCCTTTAAGACGCGTTTAAAGGGTTATTCTTAGAATACCCTACTTATAACTAGCTTAGAGCTAAGGTATACTATTATTAATAGCTTTAAGCGCTTCTTAGAGCTAGTTTTTAGTATATTTAAAAAGACGAGGTATCGCTAATTCGAATAATATTTATTTTATAATTATTAAATAAGAGATACACGAGAAAACGCGGTTACGATATAGTGGGAAGTTAACGCGATAGTAATGTAGGGAGGTGCCGGAAGTAGGGGGTGCCGGAAGCTAGGTGTGCTGACTTATTCAATGTAACACTGCGCGAGGCTGCACTTAGGGGGGCGTAATACGCTATTCGCGATAGTTCTAGGCGTATGCTTTTTTCGTATTTTAGGCTTGGTTTCGAAAAGTTGGCCGAAAAGACGTGATTAGGTTTACCGTGCATGTATTAAGTAGGTGTTAGGCGCACAAGATAAGTGCTTGTGTCAGGCTCATTCCTTCATTTCACAAGCCAGCCGCCTTGCCTCTTATGCTCTCAAGCTCGTTCCGAAAAGGCCTTGGCGGGCCCCATAGGGGACCGGTCTCCTGTTGAAAATTGTCGCATGACCTAGTGCGTTGCATGACGCAGTGGGGTACATTACCCGATTTGGAAGGTCAGCCACACGGCCCCCGTAACGCGGCCCCCGTAGCAAAGTGGTTCGGCCCACATAGTCATTGCCACTGTGCGAGTCAGGGTTTCAGGCTGAAGGAAGGAAGAAGGATGGGTGTAATAGGGCTGGCATGCCCCTTGGGAGATGACAGGGGAAGGAACAGACACGATCGGCACTGAATACGTGAAAGAACCACACTTTCTACGTTCTTTTGCCTGCTCTCTTCCTCATAAATGTTATTCGTTTAATATTCACCTGCGAGTAAACATTCGTGCAATCATGGCCGTCCTATCATTCTGTTATATCCAAGTGCAGGCTTTGGGTAGGATATCTGTCTTACGCACCCGCCCTCGCTTGGCTCTCGTCGTGGGAGCAATATTAATATACTCCCTAGCGGTTCTCCGCCTCAACTATGACGCTCTGCGTAACTCGTGGTCGACGGCCCAGATACGAGCCGAGCCCACGATCGAACCCACGATCGAACCCACGGTTATTCCAGAGATTGCCAAGGCCATACCATCGCCAGAGCCTAAGCCATCGCTCCATGAGAAGGAGGGCTTTATTGATAGTAGGGAATATCCACCATTCATATTGGCCGAGGAGCTGACCAAGTGTCGAGTAGAGTTCATGAACAGCTCCATCACCGGTAGCTATGGCTGGGAAGACCTGCAGGCGCTCTGCAGCGGCGGTGATCGACCATGGAATCCAAACATCATTTTCGAGTGCCCAACACAAACAGGGGGTATTGGGAACATTCGGCAGGCTACGCTACAGTGTCTCCGATATGCCATCGGCGCACGAGGTACGCTGCAACCCCCGGGCTCTTAGTTGACCGAGCAAACCAACCTAAGTAACCATGAACGTCGAAACAGGGTCGTTCGTCATCCCCAGATTGGCTCGAAGAAACGATAAAGACGTGTCGGACTTCAGGACGGCAGACATTGTACCTTTTGATTACATGTTTGACCTGGCACTCTTTCAACACACGATACGTTCGCACTGCCCACAGCTCATACTATACGAATCGATCGAGGACGTCAGGGACAACCCCGAAAACATGACCACCGCGGGCATTACACCGGTCGACGAACTCGAGTTCGCACCTGCTGACCCAACCGACTCGGAACCCGTCCTCGCTAATCCCGACGCATGGCCATCACTTTTCGACGAGTGGCTGTCCAAGCAGTCTCCGGAACCACCAACGCCCGCATCACCATTTCGCGTCCAGTTAAACCAATTTCACGTCTGGTGCTCATGGCCTACGGTATTCGATAGCCTAGAGCTGACACGACACTTCAGCGAGCTTCTTCCCGTCAAGCCCGCGGTCTACCGTCTTGCCGGGACCGCGCTGTATAACCTAGCGGATCGCTACAATGTCACCATCCCTATGGGGACGCTAGACCTCGCCGAGTCCTCACAGTCACGCAAAAGCTATCTTGGCGTGCACCTCCGTGTCGAGAAGGATGCGAAGGATTACCACTATACGTCGTATGAGACGCAGGCTGGGTACATTCGAGCACGCGTACAACAAACCGGGGAGGCGTCCCCAAACCCAATCATCTACGTCGCTAGCGGAGACCACGATGGAGTCATCCAATTCAAGAGTGACTTTCCCTTCGCGCAGGTCATTTCGAAGCATGACTTGCTCGACGGTGCCGATCTTGTCAACCTTAACGAGCTCACGTGGGATATCCAAAGTCTGGTCGACCTTTTGATCCTCGAACGTGCGGATCATGTATTCGGCGTTCACGACAGCTCCTTCAGTTGGAAAATTGCGTTGCGGCGGGCAGCGGCCGTAAACAAAGTCGTGGGTGGGTATCCGCGCAGCTGCTGGTCGACAGCCAACAATGGCGAGTCAAAAAGACTTGGATGTGCCGACGATCTAGTCCAAAGCGAGACATGGAGGGATAATTTAACCTCGTTGGTTGGAGATAACAATAACCCTGTGCCACCTTGGCCCAAGACGCTGTTTCCATGAGGACCGGAGAGAATGAAGGTGTTAAGGAGAGTGGGCATAAGAGGCCACAGTCATGCCCAGTGGACCTAATAGTCATGCACAAGGGAGCCTGCCTGATTAACATGACTCCCCTAGCCTAAGGATATAATATAGGCCTAACATAGGTATAGGAATATCTTAATGCCCCCCTTTAGCTAGCTATATATAGTTACTATACCTATATAAGCCCCTCCCTTATCCTAATAGATAGACTAAGATATATATTACTAAATTTACCTTTCCATGCCCTTATTTCTGTTACTATACTCTTAAGCCTTTACTTAAGAGTTATAAGACCGGTCTATATAACTAGATTATCTTTTACCTACTAATAATACCTCTAAAGCTATTTATAAGCTATTAACGCTATTATAACGCTTAAATTATAGTATTAAGGTAAGGAGCCTAGCTATACTATAGGGTACTACTAGAAATATATAAATTATATATCCCTTAAAGAAGGAGATTACTTATTAAGTAAGACCCCTTATTTTTCTAAGATATCTTTAAAGGAAATAAAAGGGGATAATTATATTATAAGGCTAAGAGAAAGCCTTAATTAGACCTTATAGATTAAGGGGATTAAACTATAGGCCTAGACTTATAGGATTTAAGAATATACTAACCTAGATAGTAGAACGGAGCTTAAATAGCCTTAATAGCTAGACTAAGAGCAATTTATTATAAATCTTAGAGGGAGACTTACTTAATAAGAAAAAGAAGTAAAGGCTATATACCTTATAAAGCGAATAGGCTATAACGAATAATACTAGGATATAAAAGACTCCTTTTATAACCTTAAGAAAAGATTCTAGCTATAATTTAATTACTAAAATATTATAGGATAGAAATTACGTAATATCTTTCCCCTATATAGATCGTCTAGCTAAGAGAAGAAGAGATTCTCCTCTTTTCTCCCTCTTTATCTAACTATAGTCGCTCTTTAGCTACGTTTTCCCTTATATCTTATGCCTTCTCCCTCTATATCTCTCTTTCTTCTACTTCTAGCCCCCTACCTAGGCCGACCTATCCGCCCTACCTAGCTATTATATAATATATAAGGTTTTATAGAAAGCCTTAATTATACTTAAAGAATTAATTAAAAGATATAAAGGGCTTTAAGGGGTAACCTTAATATATAATAGCCTAAGAGAGAAAATTAAGGAATTAAAGAGATAAACTCTTCCTTTAAGGGTAAAGGAGAAAAAGCTAATTTATAAGAGATATATAACCTTTATTAATAAAAAAGGCACCTAAGACTAGAAAGCTTAAGTAGAATAGCTTAACTAAATTATTATAGATTTATAAGACCTTAAGGTCGATATACTTAATAATATAAGAATTAGATAAGAATTTCTTATAGTAGTAGATAAGTAGGACTTATATTAGTCTATAATAATAAGGGCGCTTAACCTCTATAACGAAAGATATAATAAAGATTAACTTCTATTAAGGAACTTAATTACTAACTTTAAATAATAGTATACTTATAAAAAGAAGTTATAATTACCTATAAAAAAGGGAAGCGCTAATTAAATCTCTAGGAAAGTATATACCTAAGCTAGAAGCTAATACGTTAGCTATAAGTAGTATATTAATAACTTAATAAGCTAGTAGGAAAACTACTACTTACTATAGATAATATATAATAAGAAGCTCTTATTAAGCTAGAAATATAGTAATCTAGCTAAATAAAATATAGAAAAACAGTAAAAGAACTATTTAAATAAGAAAGTAAAGTACTTAGCTTAGTCCCTTAATTCCTACCTTAAAGAAAGAGAGCTAGTATATATATACTATTATTAGTAATAATAAGTAAGGAAAGACTATTAATATAGTTACTTTATCTAAGGTAAATATAGCTATTAAAAGAATGCTATTACTTACTAATAAATTAATCTATAACTTAGGGGCCGATATTAACCTCTTTAATAACCTTAGATAGTTTAAGGAAGGAACTTTTAAATAGGGTTTTAATAATAAAGTCTAGGTTAAAGACTAAGCCTTTAAAGTATAAAGAATAAGAATAGTAGTTATCCTTACTATTAATAGTAAAAAGATAACTTTACTAAATACTTACTTTATCTTAGAAATACTAATAAGCGTCTTCTTAGCTAGGCTAAGGATAATAATAAGGATATTTTAAAACTAGCTCTTAAGATATCTTTATTTTTAACCTATAAAGGATATTTATATTAAACTAACTAACTTTAAAGGCTAATTTATAATAAGAATACTCTTATAGTATAAGAAGTAAGTATTTATAGTAATATAAGCGCCTAAGCTACTAACTAAGAAAGTAAGTAACTTATAATATCGCTGCCTTAAGTATCTTAGTCTAAGATTATTAAAGAAGTAATTAAAAGCCTACTTAGGTACTAAGCTTTAAGGCCTTATAATATATAGCTATTAAGTATATATAATAAGAAAAGCTAAGAAGGAAGTTATAGGAAAAAAATACTATCCTTAAAGCTTAAAGGTCTAAGGGTATAGATTAGCTTTAACTATTATTATTTACTAAGTCTTTATATTAAAAAGAAGGGTATATATTACTTTATCCTACTTAAAAGAAGGAGTCTATAAGTATAGCTATATATATATATATAAAGTATAAAGGGGAATAGGTTTCCCTATTAATCTAATAGCTTATAGGTATCTAGATTTATTATATAACTTCCTTAGTATCCCTTAGGTTAATTACTATATTTATATAAGATGGTATAAGTAATAAGCGTAGAATCGAGTAATCGATAACGTAAGCGGAAATATCGGTTAAAGGAGTATAGGGTAAGATTTCGTCCGGAATTTATAACGAGCATATAAGGGGCTAAATAATATATTAAAAGAATAGCGTTGCAAAGGATGCTTATAAACTTACTTATTCTATCTACTACTCCTAGGGAAATCCTTTATCTTTTATAGACTATTGCTCGCCTACTAGTAGACTAATTAGTTAGCTTTTTAGTATATTCTATAGTGCTTAAAAAGCTCTATCTATAGTATGTCTTCCTAACTTAGTAAGTGGTCTAATTATAACGTAATAGTTAACGTAAGACTATAGGTTCTAGTATAAGTAGTAGATTTAACTAGAATGTTCTATGCCCTACTTATTCTCGTATCGCGTATATCTTCGGAACCGCTAGGCTAAAATAGGCAATAGAGTATTCGTTCTGCTTATAATTAATATATGTATTTTATATATATTTTATTTTATTAGGATAGGCTTATCCTAACCCGCCTTTCCTAAAGGAAGGTATAGATATCTAGTAGAGGTCTTTATCTTTAAGGGTTATTCCCTTAGACTATATTATAGAGCCTCTTTTTACTAGCTTATTTTATAGAGCCTCCCTAAGCCTATTATTTCTTTATAATAGTAAAATAGGAATATAAGGGTATATTCTTATAATTTAATGCCTAGAAATATAACGATAGTATTATCTCTACTTATAGGGATAAGGGGCGCGCTTATTAATATATATAAGTATAAGCCTAAGCTTTAATAGCTATATATTAGTCTTTAACCTACTAGGACCCTTATTAGGTCTTTAGGACCCTTATTAAGTTATAATATACCCCTTTAAGCGTTATAGACTACTATAAAGACTATAATACTTACTTATTTTATTATTAACGTACTATAAGCACCGTAAATATAAGTAGGGCTAAAAATAAAGTTATTTATAGTTATTAAAACTATACGCTACTTTAATAGTATTTAAAGCTTATAATTCTTATAAAGAGAGATATAAGAAGTATATAAAAATATATAAAGGTAAAATTAAAAGTAAGGGGTTAAATAGGTAGGGCAGAGAGATTTAATTCTTATAAGAGTAGTAATAAAGGTAAGGGAGTAATTCTTATATTGCCTTAATTCTATTTCTATCCTCTATTTAATACCCCTCTTTATACCTATCTAACGTCTTAATTAATAAAGAAGATCCTACTTAAAGAAGCTACTAATATCCTTTTAACTACCGCGCTTTTTACTAGTTTTTCTACTATTACTAGTATATCCGTCTTATCTCTCGCTACCTTTATAGGAAGCTATCGCTACTTCTACTTCCCCTTATACCCTTACCCTTCTTTCTATACCTCCTTTTAGCTCTTTCTTCTTTCTTCTATACTAGTGTTTTTTATTTTCCTAGGTCCCTCTTACTAAGGGATATCTCTAAGAACTATAAAATTAAGCTATACTTTATAATAATAATAGTATTATAATAAGTAATTATAATAGCCTTTTTAACGTAATAATATATTAGGAAGAAAATACCTTTTATAATATAGTAGTTAGGCTAGTAACTAATATTAATTAAGGGGGCGGTCTAGTCGCTACTTTATATAATTACTCTTACTTTAAAAGGGCCTAGCTAGCTATCTTTACTAAGTATTAAAATAAGGGGATAAAGTACTAAGGAAATTATATAAAATAGGTATATAGCTCTCTCTACCCTAAATAACTATTATAACTATACTTAATACTAATTTCTAAACTAAGGGACTAAAAACTAAAGAGGGACCTTATTAGACTTAGTATCTAAGGACCCTTTAAGATAATTCCTAGCTAAGTATTATTAATAATACCTTAAGCTTTCTTTTTAAGGTTTTTAATAATATATTATATACCCGTTGATCTTGGTGTGGGGCCACAGCAGCCCAACTAAGTGTCTTCGCCACTTAGTTGGCCCAAAAAATCCGGCACAGCCCAAAAAATCCGGCACAGCAGCCCACCTCCAAAACGTCAACCCTATGCATCTCAACCGCGTTTTCTCGCGCAACTTGACTTTATTTACGTATCTTTTTGCCGGAATACATTATGACAGATAACATGGCTACCCTGGAGGCAGCAAAAGCCGTTCTGGCGTCTCGTCGCGACCCCAGAGCCGATGTTCGTCGCTCAACAACACCAAAAGAACGCCTCTTTCCGTGCGAGATGCGGCCATCCGTTACAATGTGAAGAGCTCATCCGTACAGAGAGCCATTAATTTCATAAGAAACCCCTTTTCCGTGCTCCAGGGCGTCCATTGGCGCTGACGGAGGACGAAGACGACGCCCTGGTTGCGTATGTACAGTGGATGGAACGCACCGGCATGCCCGCCACGAGAGCAACTTGAAGCTGTTGCAAATGCAATAAGAATGCGTCGAGATCCCAATGCCCGCCCGGTCTCGTCAAGTTGGCTTGACAATTGGCGTGGAAGTCATCCTGCGATCGCGAAGACGTATCTCAAAGCAGTTGAACGAGCCCGGAAGTCCTTTGAAGCCCACGGGGTAGAAGAAGTCGAATTTTTCTACTCAAAGCTTCGAGAAATCATCACCAGCTACCGTATTGGCAGTTCAGAGATCTGGAATGAAGACGAGGCCGGAATACGCATTGGGTGCCTGCGAGAACGCATCCAAGTTCTCATCACGCGCACCACTAGAGTCAAGAGCACCCGGCCCCGAGTTTTAGACCCAGCAAACCGAGAATCCTGCACGGTAATTGCCTCAGTTAACGCAGTGGGGGACTCTCTTCCACCCTGGCTTGTTTTCCAACATTACCCTACCACCAACTGGGCCGGCATCGACATCATGACAGGCGTACGGTTTGCCCAGTCGCCAACTGGCTTTTCCAACGCAGAGATACACCTTGAGTGGGCAAGGCATTTCAACTGCTGGTCTTGGGCATCGTCAGCGCAAGCAAAACAGTCAGGAAATTCGCTGGAAGAGTGGTTCGGCTGTGACGAGCATCTTCGGCGCCCCAACATGGGGATGAGTCGCGTGGAGGCGCCGCCAAACCAACGGCCTGACGACGAGAAGATCTACCGATTGCTTGTTGTGGATGGCTTTACAGGGCATACCACCTTGACTTTGCTGAGTATTGTATCAAGTCTGATATCATCATTGCTATTTTCCCTCCACATTCCACCCACCTCATGCAGCCGCTTGATGTTGGGGTATTCCAACCACTAAAGTCAGCACATCAGAAAGCGCTTCGGAAGTCGCTCGCAGAAGGCAACATATCATTTTCGCGGGTCAACTTCCTCACAGCTTTTCAGGACGTATATGAGGCTGGCTTCACGCGGCATAACATTATGGCGGCATTTGAAAAACAGGCCTCTTTCCTGTCGACCCAGCGCCGGTGATCACCAAGATCCTCCACGAGCAGCTACGACAACAGCAGCCGATCAATCCTGCATACGCCTCGCTCCTACCCTCGGAGACGCGTTTCCAAGTCGCCGCGGATGCCCTCAATGATATCCGGCAACGGTATGGGCCCCTCATGAGCTCGCCATCACGAGAAAACTTGCGGGTTCTTGCGAAAGTGAACACCGAGTCTATCGCGATGGCGTCACATTCCCAGGGCATAGTCAGCGATAAGAATAGCCGAACCCAGGCGTATGCGAATCGAATGAAGAGAGGCAAGATTGTCAGGCCGCGCGGAGAGTTTATCACGAGCTCCAGCATGGCCGACATCACCCGGGAGTATGAGGAGCTCAGGCAAAGCAAACCCGGCTTCAAACGCGCCAGGAGATAAGGATGCATCTTAAACGAGTTCGTGGAGAGATGCAGAAGATCCGAGAAGACTATAAAGTCGGGAAGAAGCAGTTAGTCAATGGCAGAGTCAAGACATTGAACTTTAAGCCCTGGCTAGAGTTTACGGGACGAGACGTTGAGTTCTACACTCTGGAGCAAAGTTGCGATACCCTCATGCGGGAGCTCAAAGAGCCATCCAAGGAATCCTTTTCTATGATACCACGAAGAGAAATAACTCCGCCAGAGATGTCAGGGCGCGCAGCGACCCGACCTCGCCCACTTACAGATATGTCGTCGTTGCCCGGCAGTGACGATACCGTCTATTTCACAGGCCTCGATCTTGACAAACATAGTGAGGATGGCGCCGACGATGAAGACGAGGACAATTTACTCGACACGCAAGAGAATATACCCTCATCGCCGCCGTTAGCAGCGGTTGAAGCGGTAGTCGATACACCATGCCCTCGACCGCGCACCTGATCGTCCAACAAGATACAGCAGACGCTCCAGGAACACAGGTATGGATAAAATAGCTCTCAGAGACGCACAACAGGCGAAATTACTACATAATACGTCTATTTGGACTCACAAACGCGGTCTTCCTATCTCTTCGACTGGAAGGCGGCAGCTCCTAAATAGGCCCAAAGACGTGATTTTTTCACTTTTCGTTGTTACTTGCGTCTTTAGGTGATCCGCAGCTATTGATCACATGTATATTTTAGCTATTTGAAGTCGCATTGACGGCACCATGAAGCGAAGCGTAGAATTTCCCTTGATTTTGCACCCCAAATTGAGGACCCTGCTGTGCCGGATTTTTTGGGCCAACTAAGTGGCGAAGACACTTAGTTGGGCTGCTGTGGCCCCACACCAAGATCAACGGGTATATATTAGTAAAAAAGAACTTCTTATAAAACTAATATACGCTTATAGTAAGTATATATTATAAATAAAATACTAACTAAAACTAGGAATTAATTTAATAGTATTAATTACCCTTAGTAATAATACTATACTAAGGCTATAGGGTATATATATATAAAAGCGGCCCTTAATATACTATGCTTAACTAGAGCGCGTAGTATAAAGAGACGCCGCTTAAGTTTATATACCTTAATAAAGTAAGTTAATAAACTTAAAGCAGCGATATAATACCTACTTAAGCGCCGAGCGACTTTATAGAAAAAGTAATATATACCATGCCCCACCCCCCTTTCGGTAACACCCACCTTTCGGTAGCGCAATTGAAAAATTCTCCACCAAAAGTCTACCATTTGAACTACATGAAATATGATCAGAACTTAACATTATAAACACAAAAATTATATCATTCCGTAGAGAAATGGACGCTCTTATATGTACCGGCGCTTTTTACCATTCGCCCGGATCTGGTGGTGACTGGAAGGGCTTCGGTGCCACCTTGACTTCGATCACTGAAGCTGTCTCCACCTCTGAGACCGCCTCCTCCTCTGTGTCAGAATTCAGCACAACGGCTATCTCTTGGCTTTTAATTTGGGGAATGGCTTCTCAGCCACCAAAGCTTCACTGAGAGTCATGAACCGTCTGTTCGGGTTCGGAATTGCTCTCCTCCTCTTGCCTCTCTGCAGCCGGGCCACTTCTTCCTCTAGCTTCGCGATTCTGTTGCTGTGCTCGGCAAGCGTCTGTTCTGGGCTTCAAAGCCTCTAGCTATCACGGCGTATCGTCTCCGGGTGCCAGGAGTCTTGTTCTTTCCGAAATCGCGAATCTGGCGGCTGTTTCTTGGCGTATCATCAGAACTCAAAAATGGCGCGGACTTTGGAGACGTCTCTACAATGTCCGCGTGAATTTCTGGATGCCGCAATGCCTTGGATCGTGAGATCGGCCAATTCCCAGTGACCCTCCAGCCGGACAATATATTCTTTGCCGTCATTCCAACCTCGCGCGCTTTAGCATATGCCGTATAAAATTGACCTTATGAACAGGCGCAGAATCGGTCAAACAGGTCAATTTCTGAAGTTCTTTCCGGTAAGCTGCCTTGAGGCATTGAATACACCGTTATCTAACGGCTGGAGGCCATGAGAGCAGTGGGCAGGAAGGTAACAGCAATAAACGTTGTTCAAAAAGCATGTGGCCATCCATGCATCCTGGTCCCGGTTAACGGTAATTCCTACAGAGGTGGATAAAGAAACGCACCGTTGCATGACTTCCATGTCCATCTAATATGATCAGTCTAGCATCTGAGGCATCGGCTGGTCGCGTCTGGGGCAAATAGACCTCTCAAGCCACTCAATAGCGATATGGTTGTCCGTCCATCCGTTGGGCGACGTTATGTAATGCCAGTCGGCTATTTTGCCGAATTCCGTCAAGAACCACTGTTTCTGAAGTTCTTTGCCCTTAAAGATAATGCCAGGGGTAAGGACACGGCCGTCCGCGGTGATAGCTTCAATAAATGAGGTCCAGTTGCGGGACTGTGGCCCTTTCAGAAGGGCCTTCCGTTTTGGGCCCGCATTCCCAACCACAAGGCTATCCAAACCTGGAAAAAGAGTCTGGTTAGTAAAAGTAATGAAAGACAAGCCAAATACTCACCAAAGCCAGACATAATACCGCCTTCGTCAACATTCACGGTATTTTCTGGTTTAATCCATCCATACTCTTTTCCTGATATCGAAGAACCAGTGAACCGCACGAGGCGTAAAAGCATTAAATCGGTTAGCTTCCTGACGTCTCCCACGCTTGTTCTTGATGTCCGGATGGCGATTGATGAATTTAGAGACCCAGTTGCGCCCCACTGTCCGCTCGTTGTTCAGTTGTTTCATAAGAGCCTCCACACATGCGCGGATCTGACTGTGGAGGAGCATAGCCGAGAGACTCTTGGCGGAGGATCCAAGAAACCAAGCGAGCTTCCTGAGACTTACTCAAGAGTTGACGAGGCTGGATCTGATCAGCCAGGGCTACCTGGCCTTTGAGTCTGTCGGAAATAGACTGCTGAGGTATGTCATACTTTTGGCGGCGCGGTACTGCGACAAGCCGTTTTTGTGACATCAATTATCGCATTAGCTATAATATCCTCCGTATAAATACCTGAGGCCGCTTTAAGGTCATTTGGTCATGTGGTGGAGGAATAACGAGAAGAATCATCGTCAGGAGGCGGAAGGAGATTAGGGGGTTGGATGGTAATTTCGCGTGCAAGGTACGCACAGGCCACAGACCCCTGTACAAACATTCAACCATCGAAAAGTAGAATTCAATCAATCCTCTATCTACTCCAAGTGACGGCTTGTGAATATCTTCAAAGCTGGCTGGAATCGGTGTAAGTGAAATTGATGGGTTTTGGTGGGGATATTTCCTAATGCGCTACCGAAAGGTGGGTGTTACCGAAAGGGGGGTGGGGCATGGTAATAAACTCGCGGGCTTTATCTTAAGCGTATAGTTTAGTAAGGTATAAGTAGTAGTTAAATAGCTCTTTAAGGTAAAGAGTCGCGCTAGTAACGTATTATTAGCTTAGTAGTACTTTATATAGATTAAAGCTTTAAGATAATAATCTAAGAAATAATTAAGGAGGTAGTTATAGAAGAACTCTACCTAGGTATTACTTTAGTCCTAAGGGGCTTAAAGCGAACCTAAGCTACAATTATAGCTAAGACTAAGGGACTAACTTAATATAAAGCTATAGTATAGTAGGTCTTACTACGCTATAAATATAAGATTATCTTAGTCTTTACTAAGGCACCGCTTAAAACCCTAAGCTATAAACCGAAGGATATAGTAAAGGTAATAAACGCGGCCTTAAAGCTTATAAGCGCTATAGTAGCGAGGCGCCTTTAAAGTAAGGATATTATAGTTATATTTAATACCTTAGTAAGAGCCTATTAAAGGGACTAAGGCTAGGTTAAGACTATATTTAGGCTAGAAGCTATAATTACCTACCGCGTATATATAGTAGTCGCTAAGAATATCCCTTTAAAGGTAGTAATAGTAAATAAAGAGTAATTACTTTATAAGATTATAAAGGAGAATAAAGTTAAGGTCTTTTAAGCTTAAGCGCTATACTCTTAATCTAAGATATTAATAGTAATAACTATACTTATTAAGGTTAATAGCTTAAAGGAGGCTAATAAGCTTTATAACTTAAGTCTAGTCCTTAAAGTATAAATCTTTTAATATAAACCTTATAATAAGTTAGTTTAACTATTAAGGTACTATAATTACTATAGATATAGCTATATTACTAAGCGGTAAATATTAATATAACTTTATAGCTAATATAAGAGTATAATATATAATAAAAAGGAGGATAAATATAAAGCTAAGAAAGGTAAAATCCTTAATAACTATATCTTATATTTAAGGGACTACTTATTATAGACTTAAACCTACCTTATAACGAGTAAAGCCTAGTAAAAAGTAAGGGAAAACTACTTATAAAGACCTTAATAGTTTATAAATACCTAGGAATATACTAAGTACTAAGTATTACCTACTATTAAAACCTAAGGCGTTATTAATTTAACTATAGTTTAAAAGTAAGGACTAAGGAGACCGCGCTAAGATAAGAGGTTAAGCTTAAAATACTTACTAGCTAGTAAGGCTAGGGAGGCTAAACTAAGTATAAACGATATTTATAAGTATAGTAAATAAAAAAGCGCTAAGAGATAAAGCGCCTCCCTCCTTATATAAATAAACCCTTTTACCTTAACCTTACCTATATATAATTAAAAGTATTATTTTAGAATATATAAAAGAGATATAAGCTAGTATAGCTAGCGCTTTACTACTAAGCTAGCTTTAACTTAATAGTACTATAGAAAGTAAAAGCTATACTAAGAAGCAGGGCCCTACCCCTTAAAGCAACGCCTTATAGCTTAGTTTATAAGGAAGGGAGGTATATACTATATATATATAAGAAGCTTAGGCTAAGGATATAGTCGCCTTAGTTTAAACTAAACTAAAGTAAGGTAGCTTTTAAGAATAGTACTAAACTATAAGCGATTTACTTATTACTAAGGGCTATAAGGACTAAAGTATTATAAGACCTAGGCGTAATTAACTTAAAGTACTTTATAGTAATAGTAAGAGACTTTAATATCTACTACTTACTTTAAGATAAATATAATAAAACCTTAGATAGTACGATATAACTTATATAAAAAGTAATAAGACTATATCTTAAACTTACTACCTTAAAAAAAGATTATATAAGATTTTCTTATAGCTAAAAAGATAGTACTATTAACTTAGTATAGGTAATATTAAAGACTAGGATATAGTATACTAAGCTTAACCTAGACCTAACTAAGTTAGACTATATCCCTTAGACTATTATAATATAAATTAATACCTAGGCTTAAGCGCTTAAGCTAGCCCTAAGGTAGAAAGAAGTAGAAGCTAAGCTAGTTAAAGCTAAGACTACGTCCTAGCTAAGATTATACTAGCTAACGCTCTAAACGCTAAAGGATATTAACTAGGACCTAGACTATATCTTTACTACCTTAGTATTAATCGCGATAGCTATAGTTTTATACTAAGAGTAAGTATTACTTAAGGGTAATATATAGTTTACTTTAAAGGTAAGAAGGGTAATAAGGGAGGCTAAGAAAGTAAGGAGGAAGTATAAGTAAGAAAAAAGTAAGGTAAACTAAGAAGACCTATATAAGGTAATAGCGGCTTAGAAGTAAACTATCTATAAGGTAAGGAAGGCCTATTAGTATAAGTTCTTAAAGGAATTTAGTATTAATAATACTAAGCTTTAAAATATAAAAAGGTAAGCTAAGCTTTATAGTAAGCTATTATTAAAACTAACTTATATCCTACTACTAATAAAGGAAAGTAAGGACTAATTAATAGAAACTTTTAAAGGGAAGGCTTAAATACTAGCTATTAAGTTCTTCTTACTAAAGGCTAATATAACTTAAGGGCTACCTTAGCTTATAGCTAAGGCGACCCCTATAGTTAACTAATAGATTAAGCTAGCTAATATCTTTATAATACTAAGTAAGATAGTAAGCTAGAAAGTAGTAAGCTTAAATAGCGTCCCCTTAGGGTTTATTAAAAAGTATAGACTAGCCTTAGTTTAGCAACTAGCTATAATCTTTAATACCTATACTTAAGTTTTATATTTCCTAGGGCGGTTTTATAGTATAATTATAGTAGTACTTTAGAAGCTAGGTAAGAAGCTAAAAGCTTATTATATAGTAAGGGGATAAAGGCCGATTTCCTTCTTATAGAGCTAATAAAGGGGGATATAGTAAGGTCCTAAACTAACTTTAAGATAGTTATAAGGATAAAAGTAGCGGCGGACTCTTTAGTTTTAGCCTTAGATAAAGCCTTAGATATAATAAGCGCCTTACTCTTACCCTTCCCCTTACTAAAAGGGGCTAAGGCTAGAGAGGACCTAATATAATTATTACTACTATTCTTATTATTATAGTTATCCCTAGTAATAAAATAGAAATAGTTAGTAAGATTATTAACTATTATAAGAGTCTTTTAAGTAGCTAAGAGCGACTTAAGCTTAACTTAGGCTAAGGTCTTAATAGTATCGCTAAACTTACCTAAGTACTTTTCTAGGATCTTATATATATAGTAGGTATTATTTATAAAATAAGTAAAAGCTAAGGTAAGGTCTTAATATTATTAGTAATTATAGCTATACTAAGGGTAGACTTACTTAACGCGCCCTTACCCTTAGTAGTAAGGGCCTTTTAACTAATATAAATATAAGTTTTTAAAGTAGCGTAGTAAAGATACTTTTAAACTAAACCTTAAATAAAAGAGGGACTATTAACTTTAAACTAAGCTTAATAAAAAGTATATATAGCTACCTTACTTTTAAAAGTAATCTAAATATAGATTAATACTAAACTTAAACTATATTATAGTAAGATAAGGATACTTACTTAATAATAGAACTAGTTAAAGTTAATAAAAGTAATATATACTTTAGCCGTTATAGCTAGTAAAGTTAGTAAAAGTACTAAAGGTAGGACTAACCTAAGATAGAACTAAGATTAATACTTATAAGATTAGTTTTAATAGCTAGTAAAGGACTTATAAGTAAGCTTATTAATAAGGCGCTTAATATATATAAAATATAAGATAGAGCGCTTTAAACCTACTATAGTAGCGACCTTCTTATATAAAAAGGGATTAAAAGGAAGTAAGCTATTACTACCTAAGCTAGCTTCTTAGTTAGATATTATATAGTAATAAGCGAGCGGTAGATATAGTATAAGTAAGATCTAAGAATATAGAAATAAAGTAAGTAAAAGATAAAGCCTATATAAGAAATAATAGATAGGGAGGTAAGAGGAGGTAAAGATAAAACTATAAGGGGGAGGGTAGGTATATATATATAAGCTAGAAGCGCGTAATTAATAACTATATAATAGACAGTAAATATAAGCTACTATACCCTTAATTAAGAAGTTATATAGTTAAAAGAGAGCTGAATTTTAATTAGTAAAGCTAGCTAACTAAATTTTAATTAGCTAGCCCTACTTAGGAGCGACCTATACTAGTACCTAGCCTAGTAACTAAATATTACCTACCTTACTAGCTAATAGACTAATAGGCTAACGTAGTAATAGCTAAGTAGCTATAATATAATAACTATAAGGAATAAAAGCGCCTATAAGATAGCCCTTAAAAAGAGACTATTACCTATAACCCTAGGCTTAAGCTAGTAAGCTTAGGCCGCGGCCGCTTAGGTTAATTAATTAAGATTATACTAGTAACCTATCTAGAGGTATCTAGAACTTTAGCGTTAAATAAGAAGGAAAAACTAAAGTACTTAGAGTAAAACCCTCCTTTCTTTTATAGCTAGTCCGCCCTAAAGCTAGGTCGCGGTTATAATATATAG